TCAGAGACAACTCAGAGACCCCCCCCCATCATATCCTCTTAACCTTACTCCAGCACGACTTACTGCAGCGGAGCCACCATCTCCACTGCTGCTGTGCCCTATTTCCATCCTACGAGCTAGCCCCCTCACTAGTGGGACGCTTGATAACCAACCACCTATTCATCCCACTCATCCCACTCAACCTCTTTTTGGAAAAAAACCCCACAGAACAATCCTGCCTCCATCATCGAAGGGAAGAAACGCAGCCTGATCCGGGTGAAGTTAGCGAGCAGTGGCCGGTACCCGCCGAAATTTCAGCGCCAATCGCATCCACTACCAACTTCCTCCTTCCCAATCACCTCCGTCCTTCCCAACTCCGTTGTCGTGAAGAACTTCAGAGAGCCTCTTCTCCGCGGGGGCCGAGCACCATCATCACCCTGACATTCTTTACCCCCACAAGAATCCCAGTCTCTGTCATCAAGGTGGTGAACTAGCACTACCCAACGCCAATCGCGCCAGAGTTCCCTCTCCTCATCCGGTACCCATCAATCAGCTTAGACTATCTGACGCCAATCGCATCTGATAAGAGACCCCTCTAGCCGGTACCCATCGAGCAGCCCTATTTCCTCCCCCTCTCCGTCCTTGTAAAGAATCATTTGATGCCCCTAGCCCCTTACTTCAAGCAGGTCCCCAAAAGCTCCACAGGATGTCCTGCTAGGTTTTTAATAGGAGAAAAATGAGACGAGTCTCTGACCATGCTTCCCGAATTACTGGAAGTGTTCTCAGACGTCTTTTCAGCCGAAGCTGGGTAATGGCCCCGGTATCTGGTTCAAAAAAGAGATCGAGGGAGAAGGAGATGTTGGGATATCACGCGTCCTACTAGTGAGAGGGCTCGCTGGTAGGATGGGAATAGGGTACAACAGCAGCGGAGATGGTGGCTCTGCGGCAGTAAATCTTGCCGGAGTGGGGTACAGCGGATTGACTGGGGGTGTCTGAGTCTTTTTCTGAATTGTGCATATGTTTTTGTTTCTAAAAAAAAGAGGTGAGTGGGAGAAGTAGATGGTGGGATATCAAGCGTGTGATACGCAACCTCACGCCCCCTTGCAGCTTCCCGTACAGGGTCGCCGATCAGAGTTCTAGGAGGGGCGTGGCCGAGGATTTTTGGCCGTAAGGGTTGAGTCTCCCGGACGGAACGGGAGGCTCTCGTTTCGTGGCCGAGGTTTTTCTCGGAGTCGAACTGTCGCCACGGAGTCGTGTGGGGGTCGAATCACTCCGAAACGACAAAATCAAAAAGGTTTCCGCAAAAATGAACTGCCGCCATGCATCGGGACGGAGAAAGGCATCGAGGGGAAGGGGGCCATGGCGGCGGAAGACAAAACTTCGATCGTCAGGGGTTTGGGGGATAGGTGCGGGGTTCGAAGCCTTCAGGCCTCATCATCGACTTCACAAAGTGTCTGACCCCTCGGGTCTTTGTGTGGAGGTGGGTGGTTCGAGGCCTTCAGGCCTCGGCGTCSGACTCACAGAGTCCGCGCGAAAGTTTCCGGGAGGGTAAAGCGGCGGGAGGACTCRCCRRCATYTGAATTCGAAATTGCGCGGGCAGCGCCCCCGCGCTACGGGAAAGCTCGGGGAAACGCGTCGCTCCCTCGTAACCCAKGACCAGCCGTCGCCACGAACACGAGTCCCCCTGGCGACACCAGCGACAATCAAACTGCGGTCGCCACGCGTCGTGAGCGGCCGACCAGGGCAACACCGTCAAACCCGTGTAAGGCAATATCAGAGTCGGGGAATCAACGCGATCAATCAACACAAACCCGTTCCCCCTTATCTCACAGGCCCGCTGCGGGTCTTGCCAACACACTTGCTTCGTCCGCCTCAGCGCGCGCCGTACGTCCACATCGCAGTGGACGTTGTCGTCATCTGTGATGGGGAAGGCCGGTAGCGAAATGAGACGATCGGAGGTACGTGATGAACACGGGCAAGATCCCGCCTTCCCGGTCATCCGAGCCAACACCGAATCCATACAACAATCGTCGCAACTTTTCTCTCTCAAAAAAAAGGAGGGTGCGTAGGGGGAAGACGACGAAAGCTAAGCTTTCTCCCCTTGGCGGGGGCGTCGACCGTCCGCGGGGACGCAGGCGGTTGACGTCACCGGTGCGGGGACGATAAGCTCTAAAAGCGATGACTGTCAGTTCCGAGGAAGGCGATCGAGGAAGGGAAGGAGGGAGAGAGGGAGGGAGAGTGAATTACGCCGAGACCGCGCGAGAGCRCAGGAAAGACCGCGGAGGGGAGGGGAACAACCGGATCAACACACTCATACTCCTAAGCAGACGGTCACCCAGTTCAGTTTCCCCATCCCCGCCCGGACRAGTACATACACACATACAYGCATGCATTCAACAACACTTGACAGGACATCTAATCATCCATGGACGTTCGACATCACTCATGCGCAGAACCAWCTCCCATCACTCGGGGCCTCAAACACACGTCATACATAGACAAAGCAGCAATGGAGATAAAAGCGAGTCCTTCTCGTACACAAAAATTTCAATKAACTGCCGCCCCCAGGCGCGGCCTTCAAAAATTCCCCAAGACCACCGACCACCATAGCCACAAGGCCCTRCCGCGGCCGGCGTCCAATCCCCAGCACTGCTCAGTCCCTCCGACTGCTTCGCCCGGAGACTACCGCGGGGTCCACCCCACGTCGTCACTCCGCCCGTCCTTGGGCTCGTCGAGCCTGTTCGGCGTCGAGGACTCTCGCGCATAGCTCGCGCAACATTGCAGCCGAGATCAAAGAGGGAGAGAGGAGAGGGTTGCGCAAATTTATAGCGCGGGAGGCGGCGGGTTAACAGCGCGAGGTGCGGGCGGCGCAGGGTGTAGATGAGAAGGACCGGAGAGAGAGGTGGGGAGTTAGAGGGTTCGACCCGCGGGATTGCATGGCTACGTGATTGGGGTGTCCGTCCAAGTGGTGCGTGGTTTCCCGCTTTCCACATTGATCCGAGCATCCGAACTACACCGCCAATCACTTCGCGGAGGAAGATAGGGTAAGGATCAAGCTGGGCGTAGGGGAAGACGAAGAGTCCTGCATGGGGAAAATGCGCGCAGCAAGAAGGGAAGATGGCGCGAGGATGCAAAGCAAGAAACGGGGATGCGAGACGCGCGAAGAAATCAGAGCTTGGGCGCGCGCGCAAAAATTGAAAAAAAAAATCCCAACCGCACCCGTTTCTTGATTTTCATACCGCGGCCGCTATTCGCCTGCGGGAGTTATTAACCAAACAAAATGAAAAAGGCCGTTTCAAAAAGAAAACAAAAGCAAAAAGAAGGAAAAACCCCTTTTTATTTGCATCCGTTCTTCGGGGCTTCCGCGGGGTTTTCCCTCAAGGATACGGCAAGCCACGCGGTACGGATCTGAGCTTATCACATTTGTGATACGCAGGGGGTTCTGTAAAATTAGCAGTCTCCCGACTGCTGACGTCATCATATCTTGGATGATCGGGCGGCCTCTTCATCGTCAGCTGGCCCGATCATCCTCCTAATCTACGTGGATGCATCGCACATCCTCCATCGCCTCCTCCCATAGTATACATTCGGTCGGGCGACCCCTTCATCGTCAGCTGGCCCGATCGAATATATATATATATATATATATATATATATATTATATACAGCGCGTATTGTCGCGCGAGCTTTAGATCCGGAAAAGAAGAGGAAGAAAAAGAGAAGGAAAAGGAGAGGACAGGGGAGAGGTAGACGAAGGTGATCAGATGAAGTGATCTATGTCGGGATTGAGAGGGGGTGGAATAGGTGGAAGAAAGGCGGCCATTGCCGCAGGAGTCGTCAGCGCATCTTCCTCCTGGAAACGATGCTGGACGAATGAGAGGTAAAGGAAAGCCCCCGGCACATGAGAGAGGACCCGTGGCGCCAGATCTGCCACCGCTCGCACCACCTGCTTGCTCACCGATCGGGACCCTCGACCCGTCACCACCACATGCGTCTCGGTATAAGGCCGCCGCTCCCGCTTCTGCGCCGCGAAGACCAGGAAGTGGTACACCGCATTGGGACGCTGCCCCGTCTCGTAGATGAGCGTCCCCGCCAATCGTGCCGCAATACACCCTTGAAAAGGGGGTGTCAGATATGGCTCCCACGCCGGATCAGGGTGCGGCGCCCCCGCGATGGCCTCGAGCCTAATGGTGGCAGGCTCCACCATGAAGTCCACCTCGGTCGGATGGACCGTCCGGCTCGGATGAACTACTAAGGTCAATTACCGGGGCACCCCAGGGTGGTTGGTGGGAACGGAGAGGTCCCGCGAGGACGGGGGGTCTGGATATGGGATCCGGAAATCCCATTCGGCTTCCTCCTCCGGCTGCTGCTGCGGATGATGGCCTGGCTCCATCAAGATTGAGGTCGGGCACACGCGGAATGGGCGGTGATGGCACGATAGTCTCCTTAACGAGCGTCGCCGCGCTCGCAGGCTGAATCACCTCCTCGCCACCGCCGATCCTGCTGCCTTGCGCTCCTGGTGACGGGTGGCGTCTCTTCCTCTTCCGCGTCTTCTTGGGGGCCTTTGGTGGCGCTCGCCGAGAGTACGATGAGGGAGGACGCAACGGCCTTTCCTCCGGGAAGTCCTCCAATCTCTCCGCGCGCTGCGCAATGTAATTCGGGATGACGACCGCGTTGTACGTTCTCCGCGGGGCCGTCACCGTCCGCAATCGCGGTTGGATCTCCTCTTCCTCGCTTGCGCGATGGAGAGGAGCTCAAGATGTATGAGCTCCAAAAATCCCGGATCGATCGTCTGGAGCTGGGCGAATGGGTACAGCACGATTGTCCCTTCCTTCTCCGCTGGCTTGGGTCGCGTGATGACGTAGTAAACGACGAAGTGCTCACCGGTAGTGTGGTCTTCGTGATCCACGAAGAACCGGAACATCCCCAGCGCCACCGACTTGTACAGCACCCGGTGCAACTCCCACGCGTCCTCGTCGGCGAATAGCAGCGGCTCCACGTCAGTTAGCTCCACCAAGTACTCTGAGAACTCGCGCATGGGATAAGGGCCCGCCGTGAGCTGGTAGGGGAGGGTGGTGTAGGAGAAGAAAGGAGGCATTTAGTACGGGACAGGGGGAATAGCTTGGAGGTTGAGAGGAGCAGCGGGAGGGAGAAGCGCGGGGAGCTGCACCACCAGCGCAATCGGTCCGTCCTCGGCCCTACGCAGCAGCACTTTGTGGGTTGTGAATCGGTGCCCGCTCTGTCCTTGCACTCTGACCACTGATCTGGCCGCTTCTACCGCGTACTCGCGCACAAAGCTGCGCGCCGGCTCCCGATTCTCCTGCGGGAGGATCGTCAAGTCTCCGATGAAGGTGGCGACGCTGTGCACGAAATTGGGTGCCACCTGGAGCGCACGGAACTCAATGAATATCCGGGTCGTCTCCCGGCTGGGCAACTGCGTCACGTCCACGTACACCCCCGCATACGTCAGCCGATCGCAAAGCAACGAGTATGTCGCCAAGTCTGCAACCCCGGGCGCTGGCACGTTCACCTGTTGGATGTCATACCGCAACTGCCTCTCCTCGTTAAACCGATGCCGCAACAGGCGGTCTGCAAGCGGCGTTTGGAAGTGCTCCAGGGGCTCATGCTCCGGCTGGTGATGGTTCATCCTGCTCCCCGACACTTTCAGCACCAATGGACGAGGCAGATCGAGAAGAGGAGGAGGATGAAGAAGGAGAGGGTGATCTCGTAGGAGCGAGGGTCCGTAGGGGACCTAGCGATGGCTGGAAGGGCCGGAGCGCGGCAGCGTGCCGTGTCAGCGGTCGGGCCTGGGAGTTGTGACGGGGAATTAGCTTCACGGAGTGCTGTCCCTGTGCGCCAACCTCCGTGACCTCGTAAATGCCTGTGTATCGCGGGTGGATCTTGGAGGAGCGCGCAGATTTTCGTACCTGTATCAAGTCCCCAACTTTATAGCGGGGCAGTGGTCCCGCCGACGCGTGTCGGTTCTTGTAGTCCCGGATCTGCCGTTGATGCGTCCGATCGACGGCCTGCTGTCAACGGCGGGCTAACGGGGGATAGGCCCTAGCCATTAAGTCTAGGTAGTGGCGGGCCTTGTCTCGATTCTGGGCCCATGTTGCTCTAACTTCCGTGCCTACTAAGGGGGACAATTTCACCCGAGGGACGCTATTGGTTCTCAGTTGAAAGGGGGACACCCCAGTACTACCGTGTGGGGTAGCCCGATAAACGGCTGAAATGTGATCGATAATGACCGGCCAAGGTCGGGTATCTCCCGCAGTGATATTCCGTCTAAGGGCCATCTTAATCAGTCGGTTGGCATTCTCTACCAGGCCGTTGGCTTGAGGCCAATGCCCCGGCGAGTAGATAATCTTGACGTCCGCCCTGACTAGGTGACGTTCTACTTCGCCTTGAAGTTCCGACCCATTATCCATGTAGACCTCTTCTATGTCTAGATGCATGCACAAAAACCGATTTACGTACCAGGCTACTTCCTGCGAATTCCGGCTGGTCATAGGGTATACCTCGATCCATTTTGAAAAATAATCGACAACTACTAAAAGAACATTGAGCTCTCCCTGATCGACGGGCCCTCTCGGAACGTTGATGTCCGTCGTATCGATGCTAACCCTCTGAAAGGGGCGCTCTACACGAGTGGGCACCATCGTCCGAGGCATCTGTACCGGCGCCTTGTCCGCCGCGCAGGCCGGGTAATTCTGAACGATGTATTTTACATCTTCCCGAATTCCCGACCAGTACCATCCGTTCTTTTCGATGGCTTTTTCCGTGTACTTGACCGCAAAATGGACCGCATTCTCCTCATGAGCGGCTCGTGTCCAATCGAACCTAGCAAGAGGGTGTGGAACCGTCAACCAGCTAGACTCTTCGTCGTCATCGACCTTCCGTTTTTGTAACGTCGGGCCCTGCCAGCGATAGTCTTGCGCCCGCTCCGTGACTCTCCGCCGTTCGACTTTGGTAAGTTCTGACAGCGAGTCGCCTGACAGTCTTCGTAGCAATAGAAGGTCCGTCCAGGCCTCTGCCCGGCGGGCACTCGACCCAAATTCGTCAGATGTTCTAGCGTCCAGATACCGCTTCTCGGTAGGGACTTGGTCCGTTCTACAGTTGGGACAGACCCACGTCTTTTCACTTCGGTACCTACCGCACTACCCGTGAGACTTTACCGTATGACACTGACTACACTGTACCCATAGAAGAAAACTGGGCCCTCCCGGATGTGACCCTTCTTGGTCCGGGATCATAGGCAAGGTACAGAAGAAACAGGGACTTAGGTGTGTTTCAGAGGACGAGTTGGGGCTAGACGAGAGAGCGAGGGAGTGGGATGAGGGCTGATAGATAGTGTCGGCCATCTCCGATGAAACCTCCATTCCAGACTCAGGCGTCGTCCTTACGCAGCACATGTAGCTCTCCGTAGTGCGGTTTCGTCGCCGCGACTTCTGGTCTCCACGGAATGAGTCGCTCGTTGGCGGGGCACTTGTTGGGCGGCAGAAGGCGCGTTAATCCATCGGCGTTACCATGCTGCCGCGTGGCGCGATGGCGGATGTCGAAGTCATAGTCTTGCAAACGCACCGCCCATCTGCCCAACGTCCCCGTGTAGTCCGTGTTGTTGCGTAGGGACAGCAGCGGCTGATGATCCGTTACCAGCACGAATTTCTGGCCATACAGATACGGTCGGAAGTGCTGAATCCCCCACACCACCGCCAGGCATTCACCTTTGCATGCTTCGTAATTAGCCTGTGCCTGGCTCAGTGTCTTGGACGCATACTCAACGACGTGCTCCCCTCCGTCCTTCCCGCGCTGAGTCAGCACCGCCGATATCGCCTGAGGCTGCCAGTCTGTGTGCAGTGCGAACGGTCTTGCCGGGTCGGGACGCGCCAACACAGGAGCCGATGTCAGAGCCTCCTTCAGCGCCTGAAACGCCGCTTCGCATTCCGGCGTCCAGATCAGCTGTTCCTCTTTCTTGAGCACGTTCGTGAGGGGCTTCGCTATACCGGCGAACCCCTTGATGAAGCGTCGGTAATAGGATGCCAGCCCTAGAAAAGCCCGAACCTGGGTGAGTGTGACCGGCGCCGGGGCGTCTTGAACTGCGGCCACCTTCCTCGGATCCGGTTTTAGTCCGTCAACCGTGACAATATACCCCAAGAATGAGATCTCCGACAAGAAGAACTCGCTTTTCTCCAAGGCCACTTTGAACCCGGCATCTTTCGGTGCATGCAAAACCCACTCGATGTGTTCCACGTGGTACTCGTGTGTTTTTGAGAAGACCAAAATATCATCCATATACACAATCACGCAGAAATTGATCAGGGGCTGGGTTAGTCGGGTTTTGTTAACGAACTCAGCAAAGGCCATATTCATGGCCCGCTGAAAAGTTGCCGGGGCGTTGCAAATTCCCATGGGACACCGGACCCATTGCCATGTGCCCTCGAATAGGACAAAAGCGGTCTTGGGTCGGTCCTCCGGTCGGACCGCGACATGGTGAAAACCGTGTCGGATATCGAACTTGGAAAAGACTCGAGCGGCCCCAATAACATCTAACAAATCATCGATTCGTGGCAAGGGATAAACATCTTTGGTAGTGATGGCGTTCAGTTTCCGGTAGTTGATACATACCCGGACCGAACCATTTCGTGTTGGCACAAGGACCATGGGAAAAGACCACAGTCCCATCGATGGTTCGACCCACCCCAACCGCTCGAATTCCCGTACCCTTTCCAAGGCCAGCTGCCTTTCTTTAAGGGAATATCGGTACGGTCAGCAGTGTATCGGGACGTGATCCCCGGTATCAATCGCATGTTGTATCAAAGGGGTTAGCCCTATGTCGTGGTCGAGAATACTGACGACCTCAGGATAGGCCCGTATAACCGCCAGGAGGAGGCGTCGGTATTCATCCGGAACACGGGTTGGTAACTGCACTTCCACGGTTCCCCCAGGAAGGGAGACCGTCGTCGTAACCGTGGGGACCGCCGCGCTGGCATCGGGCGAGGCCCCAAACAAAGAGTTGTCGGTTTTCGCCGAAAGGACAGTCGCAATGAGTTGACTGTCCGCCGAACTCATCGGCTCGCTTTCCATGTCACTGTCACCGTCCAGTTCGAGTTCGGCCGAGGGTTCTACCGAAAAGGCCTGCGCCAGTTCCCTCGGTCCCCATCGATATTCCCTGGTCCGGGGTTGAAATGACACCCCCTCTTTTAAGAGTATCGCGGCTTTTTCATCCGTGAGTAGGGGCCGTGGCGGTCGAAAAGATAAATCGCACAACCCCCTTAGCTCGGTAAATCTTTCAGGTAGGGGGTCCGTCCTGAGATATAAGGGCGCAGGGGGTTCCGAAAAGTCAGCTATTCGGGACACCCTCAGCAGGGGTTCCCCCTGCACCACGGAAGAGAACACGTGCGACCAATTGGACTCGCTCCGAACTATTTCCAGTGGTTCTTGCCGCCAAGAACGGCGCCACCGATCCTGAACTCGGATCGGATATCGGTCGGGTACCTCAGTCTTGTCGGTTTCTGTCAAGGGTTCGTTTTCGTCTGGTGACAAGCGCTGGATCATGTTGATTTGATGGGCTTTCGAGGCTAGGCGAGGCGCCGGCTGGGTGCGCATGCGCACCGCCAGTCTCATTGGTATCGTTTGGGGTTTGGGGTGGTCCGATGTGAGCACCACCTTACAGCTGCTGAAGTGCATTCGCGCTCCGACCGCCGCCTGCCACGGAATGCCTAGCAGAACATCATACGCCTGTACATCCAGCACGATCACGTCACACAAACAATGCACCCGCCCCACACATATGGGCACGTTCGTTATTTCCCCCTTACAATGAATACTATCTTCCGTAGCGGATATATATAAGTTCATCCGGTCGGAGGGGCTGAACCTGTCCTTCCCTTCCCAACTGTTTCGTTAATCTCCAAGAGATGGCGACCGCCGATGATCCCGAGTCTAGGATGGCGGCCGAGGGGTTTCCCCAGGCCTCACAATCACACTCTACGCTATTCCAGGTTATAGGATAGGCCCGGAGGCATACGTCGGGTTTTTCCGAGGCTGAATCTACGGTCTGTATCATCCCTATCCGGTTGGCTTCGTGCACCTCTGAGGTCGAGGGCTGTGGTTCCTCGTTGGCGGGTGGGTCCCGTAGGACCGGCTTTTTGCCTTTCGACTCTCCTCGAACTGACGCCTGTTTTTTAGGCACCGTTCGAACAATTTTTCGTTAGCCGCTTCAGAAATGGTTAGCAGATATGGAATAGGGACGGGGATCCGAAGATCCAGAGCCTTCAAGGCCTCCAATACGTCGATATGGCCATCCYTGTATTCAGGACCGGGTACYGCAAGATCTTCGAACCCTRGTCGCYACGGCCCGAGGTYGCTTTCCTCGGTAATCCGTTGGACGTGACGTATCACTCCAATGGTCCCGGGTTCGAACATCGCTGCCGCCATATACTCATCGGGTCCTATCTCAGTGGCCGCAGGGATCACCATCTCCGTCGTTCCTGTGTCCATTACTGTGGCTACCCTCCCCTGTCCGGCAGTGGTGGGAGCAACCAGTGGGATTTGGGAAGGTCCGGCGGGCCCGCCCTGAGTTCGGGGTTTCAGACATTCTTTCGCAAGGTGGCCTGGATGGTTACCGTTATAACAGCGTAGGGGCGGGACAGCCCCGGCCACGGTCGGTCTTATCATAGGGGCTCCGACAGCCATAGCCGCCTGTTGTTGTTGTGCGGCGGCTATGCGTTGTCGTTGCAGACCTTGCACAAACTCCGTCAACGGGGCTACTACCGTCACTAGTTGGGCCGCGACCTCTTTCATGGAGGCTTCTTCCTCGCCCCGGCCTCCTTGCGTTTGACTAGGGCGACGGGAGGCCGAAGCAGAGGAGGAAGCTTTCCGATCCGTGCCTTTTTTTGTCGGGCCCAACCCGAAGTGATCTTCGAACATACGTGCCGTAGCGAAGTAGCTATTGCGTTGAACGCCCGATGGGTCATCTTCGTCGGATTCTGAGTCCAGGCCCACATCGTAATTTTCCTTCCTGTACTTAATTGCGTACTGAATTAGCTCCGTCAGGGTATGTTCTATAGGGTTGCATTTCTTGCGGATCTTCTTCTGCAGACGAGAGTCCGACAGGCCTCTGACGAAATCAGTCCGTACCATTTTCTCATCCACCCCGGAGCGTTCGGCTAGGTACGTAAATCGTTCAGCATATCTAGCCAAGGTCTCCCGGGGCTGCTGTGTGTAGCGATGTGATCAAATCTATCGAGAAATTTCCTCTGGAAAGCTGCCCAATTAGTGAAGGGGTTTTGTCCGTACCACTCAAAAGCGGTTCCGGTTAACCTTCCGGGAATTCGTTCTCAGAGCAACTGGTCCGACCAGCCCTGGGCTTTCAAGGCAGCTAGCCAGGTGCGAGGATCGTTGTCATCTTCAGAAAAAATGGGAACTTCGGAGGGAGGAGGTACAAAGTACATGGGATGATTAACCATCCCCGCGTGGTTGTCGCCGTCGTTCGCTCCCCCAATTCCGGGTTCCACCATCGCGGGAGGCGGGTCTCAAGCCCGGCCCCTCGCTCGGTTTTGATTGCTATTCGCGGGCCTCCGTCGACGGGGAGCCAGCCTACTAAAAAACACGAAAATTCTAGAAAAAATATAAGAAGGAAAAAGGAGAAACTTTTTAAAACAGGGCAATCGTCTTAGGAAAACCTCGGAGCCGAAACGAATCAGCTCTGATACCAACCTCACGCCTCCTTGCAGCTTCCCGTACGGGGTCGCCGATCAGAGTTCTAGGAGGGGCGTGGCCGAGGATTTTTGGCCGTAAGGGTTGAGTCTCCCGGACGGAACGGGAGGCTCTCGTTTCGTGGCCGAGGTTTTTCTCGGAGTCGAACTGTCGCCACGGAGTCGTGTGGGGGTCGAATCACTCCGAAACGACAAAATCAAAAAGGTTTCCGCAAAAATGAACTGCCGCCATGCATCGGGACGGAGAAAGGCATCGAGGGGAAGGGGGCCATGGCGGCGGAAGACAAAACTTCGATCGTCAGGGGTTTGGGGGATAGGTGCGGGGTTCGAAGCCTTCAGGCCTCATCATCGACTTCACAAAGTGTCTGACCCCTCGGGTCTTTGTGTGGAGGTGGGTGGTTCGAGGCCTTCAGGCCTCGGCGTCSGACTCACAGAGTCCGCGCGAAAGTTTCCGGGAGGGTAAAGCGGCGGGAGGACTCRCCRRCATYTGAATTCGAAATTGCGCGGGCAGCGCCCCCGCGCTACGGGAAAGCTCGGGGAAACGCGTCGCTCCCTCGTAACCCAKGACCAGCCGTCGCCACGAACACGAGTCCCCCTGGCGACACCAGCGACAATCAAACTGCGGTCGCCACGCGTCGTGAGCGGCCGACCAGGGCAACACCGTCAAACCCGTGTAAGGCAATATCAGAGTCGGGGAATCAACGCGATCAATCAACACAAACCCGTTCCCCCTTATCTCACAGGCCCGCTGCGGGTCTTGCCAACACACTTGCTTCGTCCGCCTCAGCGCGCGCCGTACGTCCACATCGCAGTGGACGTTGTCGTCATCTGTGATGGGGAAGGCCGGTAGCGAAATGAGACGATCGGAGGTACGTGATGAACACGGGCAAGATCCCGCCTTCCCGGTCATCCGAGCCAACACCGAATCCATACAACAATCGTCGCAACTTTTCTCTCTCAAAAAAAAGGAGGGTGCGTAGGGGGAAGACGACGAAAGCTAAGCTTTCTCCCCTTGGCGGGGGCGTCGACCGTCCGCGGGGACGCAGGCGGTTGACGTCACCGGTGCGGGGACGATAAGCTCTAAAAGCGATGACTGTCAGTTCCGAGGAAGGCGATCGAGGAAGGGAAGGAGGGAGAGAGGGAGGGAGAGTGAATTACGCCGAGACCGCGCGAGAGCRCAGGAAAGACCGCGGAGGGGAGGGGAACAACCGGATCAACACACTCATACTCCTAAGCAGACGGTCACCCAGTTCAGTTTCCCCATCCCCGCCCGGACRAGTACATACACACATACAYGCATGCATTCAACAACACTTGACAGGACATCTAATCATCCATGGACGTTCGACATCACTCATGCGCAGAACCAWCTCCCATCACTCGGGGCCTCAAACACACGTCATACATAGACAAAGCAGCAATGGAGATAAAAGCGAGTCCTTCTCGTACACAAAAATTTCAATKAACTGCCGCCCCCAGGCGCGGCCTTCAAAAATTCCCCAAGACCACCGACCACCATAGCCACAAGGCCCTGCCGCGGCCGGCGTCCAATCCCCAGCACTGCTCAGTCCCTCCGACTGCTTCGCCCGGAGACTACCGCGGGGTCCACCCCACGTCGTCACTCCGCCCGTCCTTGGGCTCGTCGAGCCTGTTCGGCGTCGAGGACTCTCGCGCATAGCTCGCGCAACATTGCAGCCGAGATCAAAGAGGGAGAGAGGAGAGGGTTGCGCAAATTTATAGCGCGGGAGGCGGCGGGTTAACAGCGCGAGGTGCGGGCGGCGCAGGGTGTAGATGAGAAGGACCGGAGAGAGAGGTGGGGAGTTAGAGGGTTCGACCCGCGGGATTGCATGGCTACGTGATTGGGGTGTCCGTCCAAGTGGTGCGTGGTTTCCCGCTTTCCACATTGATCCGAGCATCCGAACTACACCGCCAATCACTTCGCGGAGGAAGATAGGGTAAGGATCAAGCTGGGCGTAGGGGAAGACGAAGAGTCCTGCATGGGGAAAATGCGCGCAGCAAGAAGGGAAGATGGCGCGAGGATGCAAAGCAAGAAACGGGGATGCGAGACGCGCGCAGAAATCGGAGCTTGGGCGCGCACGCAAAAATTCAAAAAAAAAATCCCAACCGCACCCGTTTCTTGATTTTCATACCGCGGCCGCTATTCGCCCGTGGGAGTTATTAACCAAACAAAATGAAAAAGGCCGTTTCAAAAAGAAAACAAAAGCAAAAAGAAGGAAAACCCCCTTTTTATCTGCGTCCGTTCTTCGGGGCTTCCGTGGGGGTTTTCCTCAAGGATACAGCAAGCCGCGCGGTACGGATCTGAGCTTATCACAAGCATCCTACTAGTGATGGGGCTAGCTCGTAGGATGGAAATAGGGTACAGCAGCAGCGGAGATGGTGGCTCTGCTGCAGTAAGTCTTGCCGGAGTGAGGTAAAGAGGATTGATGGGGTTTTTCTGAGTCGTTTTCTGAATTTTGCCTATTTCTGAATTTCGTCGTAGTAATTCTCTAAGTAGCTCAAATTTTTCTTTGCCAAAGCCGGGTAATGGCCCCGGTATCTCAAACTTTCAAAATTCTATGTAAATTTCCATATGGGACGCTGGGCCCGGTTCCCAGCACCGAATAGATTGGAGCCTTGTTCCCATTAAAAATAAATAAAAATAAAAAATCGGCCCTGGGGGCCGTTCCCCGTTTCTAGGGGAGCATGCCAGTCACTTTGTCTGGACAAAAAACGTAACTGCCTTGCGTACTGCTCCATAGGGCCTCACTCCATTGCTCACCACATGCACAAAATATGTCTATCTATCTTTCCGTGTTCTTGCGGAGATTCGTTTCTCTTTGTGCACATTTGGTGAGTAGTGGAGCGAGACCCATAGAAACTAATTTTTTCATTTCCTTTTTTTCTTCTTCTTAAATTCACTAAAACCTGCTACGAATATACCACAAAGGCATTTCTCAGATTTACTAAATGCGGTAAATGGTGTTACACCGTTGACATTTCTAAAATCAACGGCCATAGGTGGGACCAGACCCCTGGAGGCAGATCCCACTACCGAGGTACGTAAATTAGTGGAGAGGGTGTGTGACTCCCAAGCACTGCGGGTCGGAACGGTGATCAGCGGTGGTGTTTTTTGCATTTGAGTGGAGGGACATATATGTACTTCTGCGGCCTCCCATTGGATGCTGTTTCTATTTTGTTGAGTAGGTTGTGTAGGGGTCCGCAACGTGAGTGAAAATCATAACAGTTTTTTTGGTGATGATTTTCACACACCTTCCACACACCTTTGGCTCGTGGCCCAAGCATCGAAGAGAGGCCGAAATCTACAATATGGGAGGTGTTTGGGAGGGTTAGATCCCATCACCTACAGCAAATACGGCATAGCGTTACTGTGATATCTGTCAGAGTGAAGGACCAGAGTGCACTGCGGCCTGTTTCAAGGAAGACTCAGGCTTGGACCCCACTGGCCGGCGGCTGGAAAAGTTTTGGCGTGGAAGGGCAATTTTGGACCCCACTGGGCTGCCAGGAAGTTTTTTAGAGGTCTGCCAACTTGAACGTCGATTTCGCACCCCACTGCTGTTTCCAAAACACCGCCAGCCGTGTTTCTCCATGGCTGGCGGCTGGAAAAGTCTCCGCCCACGGCCGGCGCTCTTTTCCAAAACGCCCTCCAACAGGGTAGGGAAGGCAAAGCGCCAGCCGTTGGCATCGGAGGCTGGCGAGGAGTGGTGCAGTGAACGGGCATCGCGGACATACGTTTGGTCCAGGCCGAAACGGCACGAACGAAGTCCTTGTTGCACAACTCATCGAAACTGACGATTGGTGGTCTGCTGCTCCATGCAGCCGTTCGTTCTTTCCTTTTCTAGAGGGGGGGGTTCCTAAAAGGGCAAGCGTGACCATTTCCAAAACACTGCCAGAAGATGGCGGTGTGGTCTTTTACGAAACGTGCCAAAAAGTTTCCACCCACATTGGCCAGCTTTTTGCCGCCTCATTCCTTTTCCAGCCGCCGCCCAGTGGGGTCCAAGCCTCAGACTACTGTAAATGAATATGGTCCGTGTGTCCACTCACATGCAGTCATCTGGACTGCCACAGCCATGGTCAGTGACTCATACCTGACATCTGACATGTGGCCTGGACAAGACAGGATCTGTGGGAAGAGCACTTTCTTTTCTTTTCTAGCATTTTTCTGTTCATCTTTTTGGTCATGAAATGGTTTTTTTTTTTT